CTCTGTCGCCCAGGGCTAGAGGTGGTGCCGTGGCGTCAGCCTAGCTCACAGCAACTTCCCAGACTCCCTGGCATTCAAGCGAGTCTCCTGCCTCACCTCCCGAGTAGCTGGAAACTAGCATGACCCACCTGCCCGCTAATTTTTTTGCTATGTATTTTTAGTTCGCCAGTTAATTTCTTTCTGTTTTTAGTGGAGACGGGGTCTCGCTCTTGCTCAGGCTGGTTTTGAACTACTGACCCGAGCGATCCTCGCCGCCTCGGCCTCCAGAGGCTAGGATTACAGCGGCGTGAGCCACGCAGCGCCCGGCCGAGACTTTTGTTCTTAAACACTGTGGTTTCTGGGTCGGGCCCGCGGTGGGGACGAGGGGACCACAGAGGTGTGCAGTGTGTGGACAGAGGAGAGAAGCTCCGTGAAGGAAGCAGATGGGGCGGTGCCTGGGTCGCAGGTGGGGCAGGCCCCTCACCCACGGTCCCCAGGGCCCGGGGAGTCCGGGTGGAGGAGGGACTCGGGGGACGTGGCACAAGCAATGGGGAGCCGTCCGTCTGAGGATGTGGCAAGCCTGGACGGTGGTCAAGGCAATGACACACAGCTGGCGACGGACGACAGTGGGTGGGACGGCCAGAGCGGCTGTTGGGGCTGGCTGGGGGCCAGTGGCGTGGGGCCAGTGGCGGCGGGGACTGGTGGGGGCGGTGGGCGTGGGAAGTGGGCGGCGGGGGCTGGTGGGGGGTGGGCCAGTGGGGGCGGTGGGCCGGTGGGGCGGTGGGGCTTGGTGGGCGGCGTGGCGTGGGGTGGGTGGGCAGCATGGCGAAGCCGCCGTCGGGCTGGAGGTTTTTGCCGTCCCCGTCCCAAAGCCCTGGGATGGTGAACCCCAGTGGGTCCTGTGACCCCTCCCAGGGAGGGGTGGCTTCCGGGCTCTATGGGGACTTTCGGACCCAGGGGTCCCCGAGGGTCTCCCCAGGTCTGGTGTGTGGCCCATTGGGCCGGAAACAAGGGACGCTGGGTCAGCGGAAGGAGGGGAGACTGGTGCAGGTGGCCTGCGGTGGGGCGGTGGGGCTGGTGGGGGCGGTGGGGCGGTGGGGCTGTGGGGTGGTGGGCAGCACGGCGAAGCCGCCGTCAGGGGCTGGAGGTTTTGCCGTCCCCGTCCCCACAGCCCTGGGATGGTGAACCCCAGTGGGTCCCTGTGACCCCTCCAGGGAGGGGTGGCTTCCCGGGCTCTATGGGGACTTTCTGGACCCCAGGGGTCGCCCAGGGTCTCCCCAGGTCTGGTGTGTGGCCATCGGGCCAGGAAAGCAAGGGACACTGGGTCAGCGGAAGGAGGGGAGACTGGTGCAGGTGCCTGGGGTGACCCTGGGGAGCTCTCAGACCCCACATTTCACGGGCTGCGCCGCCCGCTCCACCGCCCTGGGCAGCCACAAGGCAGCTCCACACTCTCCCGGTCCCGAAAAACAGGAGGGAGGAGCTGCCTCATCCTGGTGCCTCGGTGGCCACGTGGCCACGTCTGCAGGTGTCTTTTTAGGGGGGTGTCGTGGGCGGAAGCCAGGGTGCTGCTGAGGGAGCCACACGCACAGGACAGTCCCTGCGGCAGAGCCGCCGTCACCTGCCCCACGGCTGGAGCCGGGCTGAGGCCGCCGTGCACAGGCACCTGAGAGCACTCGGCAAGCGCCCGGAATTAATATCGGTAATAATTAATATCGTCTTTCTGTTGGGTGCGCTGGCTCACGCCTGTCATCCCAGCACTCTGGGAGGCCGAGGCGGGAGGATCGCTCAAGGTCAGGAGTTTGAAACCAGCCTGAGCAAGAGCAAGACCCCGTCTCTACTAAAAACAAAGAAATTAGCTGGACAACTAAAAATATATACAGAAAAAAAGGCCGGGTGGCTCCCGCCTGTAATCCTAGCACTCTGGGAGGCCGAGGCGGGAGGATCGCTCAAGGTCAGGAGTTCGAGACCAGCCTGAGCAAGAGCGAGACCCCGTCTCTACTAAAAATAGAAAGAAATGAACTGGCCAACTAATATATATATACAAAAAAAGATAAAAATCAGCCGGGCGTGGTGGCGCATGCCTGTGGTCCCAGTTACTGGGGAGGCTGAGGCAGGAGGATCGCTTGAGCCCAGGAGTTTGAGGTTGCTGTGAGCTGGGCTGACGCCACGGCACTCACTCTAGCCTGGGCAACAGAGTGAGACTCTGTCTCAAAAAAACAAAGCAAGACAAAACCGTGTCTCTCCGAGTTGCCCTGTCTGGGAAACGCACCGTTGTCATGGGGACTGGCTGCCCGGTGGGGAAGGGGCACACTGAGGTCACACCCTGACGGGAAGCTGCAGCCAGGACTTTGTCAAGGTGCAAAAACCTGCGACTGAGAGTCCAGGACCCTGGTGCCACCATCACCGTCCCCGTCACAGCCGTCTTGGGCCCGGGGGCTCCTGCCAGGCGCCTGCAGATGTCACCCAGCCCTGGGACGTCCCGGGCAGACCATGGGGGGACGCCACCCCATGGGGGTGGACAACTGTCTACCCATGGGGGTCCTCGGGTAGACAGAGGGACAGGCGGGCAGGCGGGCCTGCTCCCCAGCGTGGCCCACGGACGCCCCTGCCGTCGGCTCTAGGACTCAGAACACAACAGCGACAAAGGGACACACACTTACTTTTTCAGAGCTTCTCTGAGGTTCTTAAATCTGCCCTCTGACGACACCAGCTTTTGGAGCTTATCAATGAGAGCTTTGGTCTGGAAGGAAGAGAAGCGTTCACTAGCACACAGCACACGCGCCAGCATGCCGCCTCCAGGCTGCCCTCCAGGCTTGCTTCGGGTCCAGGGACTCCTTGTCTGGGACCCCTGCCCCGGACTCCTTGGGGGTCCTTAGCCCGTGTGCCTGTGCCTGCCCGTCTCTCTCCGGCGTGGGACTCAAGTCAGGACTTGGGACCTGGGGACCGGTGGCTGGGAAGGGCCCGGTGGGGACGACAGGAGCCTGGGCTCCTTGGAGCAGGGAGGGCCGACGTCCCATCCTGGTCATCCTGGTGAACCGCACCTGAGGGGCGGGGCCCTCTTCCCCCATCTCCCCTCTCAGGTACCGGGACCCCACTACCCGCCACCAGGTTTAGGAGGCAAGAAAAAGATGGAGGGTGGGCCGGGCGCGGCGGCTCACGCCTGTAATCCCAGCACTCTGGGAGGCCGAGGTGGGCGGATTGCTGAAGGTCAGGAGTTCAAAACCAGCCTGAGCAAGAGCAAGACCCCGTCTCTACTACAAATAGAAAGAAATTAATTGGCCAACTAATGTATATAGAAAAAATTAGCCGGGCATGGTGGTGCGTGCCTGTAGTCCCAGCTACTCGGGAGGCTGAGGCTGGAGGATCCCTTGAGCCCAGGAGATTGAGGTTGCTGTGAGCCAGGCTGACGCCACGGCACTCACTCTAGCCTGGGCAACAGAGTGAGACTCTGTCTTAAAAAAAAAAGAAAATAGGCGGAGGGGGGACCGGTCACAAGAGGGGCAGGGCTGGGCGGGAGGGACCCTGGCAGGGGGGTCTGCAGATGGAGCGGAGTCTCGGTGGCCCGAGTGTGTCTGAAGGGACAGGTGGGTCCCCCGGAGAGCGCCCGGGCAGGGAGTGACTCTGCGCTTGCTCCCTGGGGCTCAGCGGCCTCATTCTTGCAGCGGGCGGGAGAGAACAGGTGCACCCTCTCCCGCTCTGCTCCTTGCAGTCCGGGCGAGGCCGGGAGCTGTGCCGGGAACAGCCACGCGCCCGGGGCTGGAGGGACAAGGGCTGCAGGGACAAGCTCACGCCCGCCTGGGGTTGGATTTCCAGCCCAGAAATCCGCCTGCAGAAGGGACAGACCCCTACAGGGACAAATGGGGGAGGAGCGCACGGTGCCAGTGGGAGGGGCCTGGCGTCCGGCGAGCAAAGCGGACCCTGCCCGGAACACGGTGTGTTCCATGTCTGGAGACTCGGACATGCCAGCACAGCATGCGGGCCACTCGGGGTCATGGGTGGTTCTGCCCAGGGGCCCGGCCTCCCTCCTGCTCCGGGGGTCCGGACGGACCTGCTCCCTCCTTCCGCTTTTCCACCCACCTGCCGGGGAACCACCTGCCGGGGCTTAGGTCGGACACGGGGCTGAGTCAGGAGACCCAGGCCTCCCTCCCCCGGGGTCTGCCACTCGCCCCTGCAGGACATAGGCCAGTCGCCACCCCTGTCCTGGCCCTCGCCCAGCCTCAGCCTCCCCATCTGGAGAATGGGGGCAGGCCCAGGTGGGGCAGGACTGGTTCAGAGATCCCAGAACTGTAGGAGACACGGAGGCTCAAATGAGAGGCCCCGTGGCCTCACAGCTGCGGGCGGAGTGTCCCTGGGGGGAGGACACACAAAACCACGTCGTCTCTGTGCATCGTGGGTCATGTGATAAAAAGGAAAAGAACTAAAAATGAAACAAAGTATGTATTAAATTTTTAAAAAAATTTTAAAAAAAGAACAAAATCACATGGGTTGTCCCTGCTACTACAGGGCCATGGTCACCGGATCCTCTCTGGAGGCAGCTCTGTCTCGTTCTGGGTGGTGTTTTTTAGACAGAGTCTCGCTCTGTCTCCCGGGCTAGAGTGCGGTGGCGTCAGCCTAGCTCACAGCAACCTCAGACTCCTGGGCTCAAGCAATCCTCCTGCCTCAGCCTCCCCAGTAGCTGGGACTACAGGCATGCGCCACCATGCCCGGCTAATTTTATATATATATATATCAGTTGGCCAATTAATTTCTTTCTATTTATAGTAGAGACGGGGTCTGGCTCTTGCTCAGGCTGGTTTTGAACTCCTGACCTTGAGCGATCCTTCTGCCTCGGCCTCCCAGAGTGCTGGGATGACAGATGTGAGCCACCGCGCCAGGCTCTTCATTCTGGGGTTTCTGTTTGTTTTGCAAAGAGGACGGGGAGAGGGGTTGAAAAGAAGAAGGGGGAAACGAAAAAATCCCAACAAAACCCGTTTGACTCTTGCCAAGGGCTGAACCAGGCTTGGACCTGGCGCTTCCCTGGGGGGGGGGGGGTTGACAAAAACCAGCCGCCAGGGCCACACCGCAGGCCGCCTGCGAAACGTGGCCATCCAGGGGGGCGGCGAGTCCCTGGGATCTCAAGAAGAAATGAGGGACTGCAGACGCACAGCGACGGCCCAGCTGCAGGGCGGGGGCGGGGGCGGCCCAGGCTGCCGTGGGGGGAGGGGAGGCCCAGGTGTGCCCAGAGGCACCTGTGCCTTTCGGACCAGCCCAGCCCTAACTAGGCCTCCTTTGCTTTCTGGAGGAGAACGAGGACATCAGGACGGCCCAGGTGGGCCCCCCCCCCCAGGGCCACGAGGTAGGTGATGCTCGAGAATGAGGCCAAGAAATGCAACATATTTGGGGTCCGGGACGCCCCCAGGGGGAGGGGAACCTGGAGCCCGGCCAAGAGGCCTGTGGGACAGGTGTCATCATGCCCACGGCACAGGCAGGGGACAGAGACATGCACCTGGCCTGGCCCCGGACCCTGCTGACAGCCCCGGCTGCACTGTGACAGGCCAGGCCAGCCTGGGTGACCTGGGGCTTCTGCAGAGCCCCAGCTCAGGAGTTGTTGGCACTGTGTGCCCAGCGTGGCCGGCCGTGCCTGCAGCCCTCCCGGCTCCCCCAAGCTCCTGCCTCGGTTCCCGTCTGGGGCCTGCTAACAAGAGCGGCCTCTTCCGTGGCCCCTGCCCTAAGCCCGGCATCTTTGTGTGCCAGGCAACAGGAGGCCGAGCCTCGCTGGGAAGCCAGCTGCTGTCGCCAGGGAAGGGCAGGGAGATGTCCCAGGGCTGGGCTGAGCAGGGGTGGGGGGGTTCAGGGACATGCCGCCTGCTCGGCGGGGGGGTGGTCACGACCTGTGGCTGGCACGGGAGGGGTGAGGACGGGAGATAAAGAGAACAGGGAGGGGGCACAGGGCGAGGTGGTTCACGCCTGTCATCCCAGCACTCTGGGAGGCTGAGGCAGGAAGATTGCGCAAGGTCAGGAGTTTGAAACCAGCCTGAGCAAGAGCGAGACCCCGTCTCTACTATAAATAGAAAGAAATTAATTCACCAACTAATATATATATATATATATATATAAAACTAGCCAGGCATGGTGGTGCATGCCTGTAGTCCCAGGTACTTGGGAGGCTGAGGCAGGAGGATCGCTTGAGCCCAGGAGTTTGAGGTTGCTGTGAGCTAGGCTGACACCACAGCACTCACTCTAGCCTGGGCAACAAAGCGAGACTCTGTCTCAAAAAAAAAAAAAAGGAGAACAGGGAGGGGCGCAGGTTGCAAGCCCGGAGTGGACCCCAGGAGACAGGCCCCTTGGAGGGCCTGGTCCTGCACAGCCACCCTCAGACACTGCCGCCCGGTGTTGGTGCCTGGAGGCCTGTCCTGCCGTCGGGGGTGCCCGTCCAGTCCCCGCACGCCCAGGCCGGGGCTGGGCACCAGCGCACCAGGGCACCCCCCTCGGCAGGGAGAGCTGCCCTCCCCGGAGCTTTGCTCCCAAGAAGAGTCTAAGCTCACGGTTTTCCAGAATCTTGTTTTGCATGAAGCAAGATCAAGCCCACGTTTAAGACAACCAGCTGTGCAGTGGGCGTCAGGGACCGGCTAGTCTCTGGTGGCCCGAAGGGGTGGAGAGACCGGGGTCCTGGGACGGGACCGGCAGGACCACCTGACGCCACCTCAGCCTCCCGCAGGCCCAGGCTGGGGTCCCCATGCAGCTGCTGCTCTGGTCCCCAATGCAAGGAGAGTGTCGGGACCACACCGCCCACCTGGGGTGTTAACTACTCCTGGGGGGTTAGTGTCTCATAGGTCCCACCGCCACACCTGTGAGCCTGGTACCTGGCCCGGGTGATGCGGGAGAAGTGATTCTGCTCTGCTTGAGTGGCTGGTCCTCAGCCCTGTCCTCTGCCCACACGTGGGTGCCCCGTGGGCGGCCCTCAGCCCCACATCCTCTGCCCACATGTGGGTGCCCCGTGGCCAGCCCTCAGCCCTGTCCTCTGCCCACACGTGGGTGCCCCGTGGCCGGCCCTCAGCCCCATATCCTCTGCCCACACATGGATGCCCCGTGGCCGGCCCTCAGCCCATATCCTCTGCCCACATGTAGGTGCCCTGTGGCCGGCCCTCAGCCCTGTCCTCTGCCCACACGTGGGTGCCCCGTGGCCGGCCCTCAGCCCATATCCTCTGCCCACATGTAGGTGCCCTGTGGCTGGCCCACGGCCACTCTGCCCACACGTGGATGCCCCGTGGCCAGCCCTCAGACCCATATCCTCTGCCCACACGTGGGTGCCCCGTGGCCAGCCCTCAGCCCCATATCCTCTGCCCACACGTGGGTGCCCCGTGGCCAGCCCTCAGCCCCATATCCTCTGCCCACACGTGGGTGCCCCGTGGCTGGCTCACAGTCACTCTCCCCACACGTGGATGCCCCGTAGCCAGCCCTCAGCCCCATATCCTCTGCCCACACGTGGGTGCCCCGTGGCCAGCCCTCAGACCCATATCCTCTGCCCACACGTGGGTGCCCCGTGGCCAGCCCTCAGCCCCATATCCTCTGCCCACACGTGGGTGCCCCGTGGCCAGCCCTCAGCCCCATATCCTCTGCCCACACGTGGGTGCCCCGTGGCTGGCTCACAGTCACTCTCCCCACACGTGGATGCCCCGTAGCCAGCCCTCAGCCCCATATCCTCTGCCCACACGTGGGTGCCCCGTGGCCAGCCCTCAGCCCCATATCCTCTGCCCACACCTGGGTGCCCCGTGGCTGGCTCACAGTCACTCTCCCCTCACGTGGGTGCCCCGTGGCCGGCCCTCAGCCCTGTCCTCTGCCCACACGTGGGTGCCCCGTGGCCGGCCCACGGCCACCCTGCCCCAGCCCCACCCACCCCAGGCAGGCCCCTGTGCCCGCCTCCCGCCCGCACCTGCTTGGAGACTTTGAGCCACGTCTTCTTGAGCCGGAAGATGGCGCTGCGGTTCATGGAGGAGGTGATCTGCAGCACGGCGTTGTAGTTGTGCAGGCAGCGGCAGATGTCGGCCACGGCCACCCACTTCTCGATGGCGCTCGCCCTGGCGTTGACGTCCTCGTTGCGGACGATTTCGGAGGCGATCAAGTTACTGATCTTTACGCGGGCGCGGGGAGGCGAGAGAAAAGCGAGAGGGACAAGTGAGCAAGTGAGCGCAGCCCGTCGCTGTCCCCGGGCGGGCGCGGGCGCCTGTCTGCAAACTCCGGGGACGAGCTGGAGGGCGGCCACGGCGGCTGGCGCGGGCCCTAGTTAGGGTCAGGGCTGAGCACCGGACACGCAGACACGAGCGTTCCCCTGCGCGCCGGCGGTGACCAGTTAGAACACAGGTGGGAAAGGAGACTGCCCCCGAAATAACCACGGGATCTGTAAATTACCCCGGAACGTAAATTGACGAAAACTGCGTAAGATGTTACATGGGAAAAAAACCCCACCTTTTTTTGTTTTTTTTTTTTCCCAATATACCAAAGAATGTAAAAGGCTTGAATGACAGAGAAAGAGACCAAATTCCCAAAAGGGAATGGAAATATGTCGTCTTGTAGGGCAGAGGAATTTGTAGGATAGAGGAAGGGCAGAGAAATTCTTCCAATTGTCGGGAATTTACTTGGGTGGGGCAATGAGCTAACCGCAAACCTTTGCTTCTGGTCATTGCTTGCTTGCTATACCGCTGTAGGGGGAATTATGGGATGAGGTCATTGAAGCACGGGCGACTGGCCCATCAGGCAATAGAGGGCAACCAACCCGCCAATTATTTCAAAAGGCAATAGTGGGCAACCAATCATTTTAAAGGTCAACGCATGATCCGTGCGTAGTCGGCTTGTGCACGGCTTGTGCACCATGGGGATAAAAGGCATGCCGTTGTTCCGGTCGGGGTCCTTGCCTGCGAGAGTGGCCACTGCGTTGGTGCTCTGGGGCTTGGACCCTGGCTAGCCAGAAAATAAACCTCCTCTTGTGTGATTGCATCCTGGATGTCTCTGCTTTTCTGTCCAGTGGGGCTGTGGAAGGTCGGTCCCTAACAGCCTTTCTGAGAACGAATGGAGGCTAACACAATCCAATAAAACACCCAAAGGGAGTTTTCCCTGGGGCGTGACGCAGTGATTCCGAGGCTCGTCTGCAGGACAGAGTCAACGAGAGCCACGGTCTGACGGCGTCTCCCACGGCACAGCCGGAGCGTGGACAGGACACGCGCTCTGCGGCCTCACGCCTGACACACGCGGTGCAGAGACCCCTCCCCCAACTCGGACAGCCGGGTCCACAAACACGTCAGCCCAGGCTGGGCCGGGCAGGGCCAGAGCGAGGACTGGGAGGGGCCGGGCGGCCGGAAGCTCCAGACTTTCTCGCACTTATTTCTGTGCAACTTCCTGTGAATTTATAATTGTTTTCAAATAAAAAGTAAAAAAAAAAAAAAAAGACTACTTATTATTTTAAAAAAGGTAGCAAAAGGATATTTACAGATGAATAAAAATCATAAGGCTTTACCACCGAGAAATCTTCTCTCAAAAATGATTTCTAAAGGACACAAATCAAGAAAATATGCGGTGGCCCGTGACTGTCACCCCGGCACTTTGGGAGGCCAAGGCAGGAGGATCCCTTGAGGCCAGGATTGGAGGCTGCAGCGAGCTGTGATCGTGCCGCTGAGCTCCAGCCTGAGCGACAAAGAACGGACTGTGAAACCACTCAAGAACGGAACTCCTTACGACATAAGGGGATCAGGAAGGAATGGAAACACAAGCTAGTACCTGTATTGCGCCACTTACTTAAAATTTTTTCCATGAACAGAACACTGAACCTAAAAATACTTTTCCACAAAGGTGACACCAATTTTTAAATGAACAGAAGATCAGTCAAATCTTGCAGAGAAGAGAGATGAGAGGAACACCTGGGCCGGGCGTGGTGGCTCACGACTGTCATCCCAGCACTCTGGGAGGCCGAGGTGGGAGGATCGCTCGAGGTCAGGAGTTCGAGACCAGCCTGAGCAAGAGCGAGACCCCGTCTCCACTATAAATAGAAAGAAATTATCTGGACAACTAAAAAAATACATACATATACATATATAAAAATAGCCAGGCGTGGTGGTGCATGCCTGTAGTCCCAGCTACTTGGGAGGCCGAGGCAGGAGGATCGCTTGAGCCCAGGAGTTGGAGGTTGCTGTGAGCGAGGCTGATGCCACAGCACTGTAGCCTGGGCAACAAAGCCAGACTCTGTCTCAAAAAAAAAAAAAAAAAAAAAGAACTTTGCAGATGCTCCCTGCAGACCTGAATGGCCACAGGACACTCAGGGACCTGCCTGGTCCCACTCTCTGCTGCCCCGTCTCCCTGGGAAGGGATTCTGGGAGCCAGGTGTGAGATGTGCCTGTCTGAGCCTAGTGCCCAGAGCCAGGTGTGAGATGCACCTGTCTGAGACCAGGGCCCGGAGTCAGGTGTGAGATGCACCTGTCTGAGCCTAGTGCCCAAAGCCAGGTGTGAGATGCACCTGTCTGAACCTAGTGCCTTGAGCCAGGTGTGAGATGCACTTGTCTGAGCCTAGTGCCCAGAGACAGGTGTGGGATGCAACTGTCTGAACCTAGTGCCCTGGAGCCAGGTGTCAGATGCACCTGTCTGAACCTAGTGCCTTGAGCCAGGTGTGAGATGCGCCTGTCTGAACCTAGTGCCCTGGAGCCAGATGTGAGATGCACCTGTCTGAATCTAGTGCCCAGAGCCAGGTGTCAGATGCACCTGTCTGAGCCTAGTGCCCAGAGACAGGTGTGGGATGCACCTGTCTGAGCCTAGTGCCCAAAGCCAGGTGTGAGATGCGCCTGTCTGAACCTAGTGCCCAGAGCCAGGTGTGGGATGCACCTGTCTGCACCCAGTGCCCTGGCGGGAGTGGCCCAGGCCCTCAACGTGCTGCTGGTCCCATCCAGCAGCTACTTCCCAGGAAAGCCAGGGGTCGGGGTCTAGAGGAGCGGGCTGGTGGGGCCAGACCCCGGGCCACCCCGACCGCAGCCAGGGACACTCGCGGACACAGCCCAGCCTGGTCTCATCAGCGCCGTGGCCTCCTGTCTCTTCGATGAGCCCTGCGGGGCCGCCTTACCCTCTCACCTGCAGTGGGGGGGCGGGGGTCAGAGTGTGATTTGCAGGGGGGCTGGAACTGTGGGCCGAAGCTCGAGAAGGCTCAGCGGGTCCTGGGCAAGCGGCCTCAGCGGGGGCCGTCTGCCTCGTCCAGCTGAGCGCTGTGTGCTTCTGACGCCGGGCTGAGGCCAGACCCGGGAAGCGTGACCAGGAGGCCTCCGCTCCCTGCCTCCCTCCGGCTCTCTCGCCCCCCCCCCCCCCCGCCTGCAGGGCGGCTGCTCCGGGGGACCCCAGGAGCCCGTGTCGGGCGGAGCCTTTGCATGCATGACCCTCAGGGGTCACCCCATCAGCGGGAGACACTGGGGTGGAGCTGGCACGCCCAGCCCAGGCCATGTGGCGGGGTGGGCCAGAGGGGACCGGGGCTCTGGCTGTGTTGGGGGCACAGCCCGATACCCCCCTCCAGCCTCTCGACACCCCCCACCAAGGAAACACCCCGGAAAGGGGCGTGTGCCCGGCACTCACGTCATTGAAGTGCTTGGTGGTCTTCATGATGTACGGGGTCCTCTCGTTCTTCTCCAGCTTCATCCAGCCCTGCCCGAAAAACTCCCTGCATGGGGGGAACGGGGCGGGGAGGTGAGGCTCGGCCTCCCGACCTCGGCGCTGCGTGGTTTCTTTGCATTTCGAGGCTGTCGTTTCTGGGGAAGGAACTTTCCGGGGGGGAAGGGGCTTTGGGCACAGCCTGTCCCTCTTGGGGCCTCAGTTTCCCCCTCTGTAAAGTGGGGAGAAGGGCAGCTCTCTCCTTGAGGGGGTAGGCAGGGCCGAGACGGACGAGGTGCGGGAGGCTCGGCACATGCCGTGAGGTGCGGTGGGCACGCCGGGTCCTGGCGTGACCCCGTCTTCTGGCAGGAGAGCTAACTGGCATCTCAGCCGCCCTGCATGGCGGCTCTGCAGAACCGGGAGGCCGGGAAGGAGCCGGGATGACAGGGTCGCGGAGGCTGCCGGCCCCGCCGCTGTGGCGTGTTCCGGGGACAACCCGGTGGGAAGTCGGACACCCAGACTCCCGCTGGGGCACCGTGGCCGGGAGAGGGGCCCGGGCAGCGTCCTGTGGCCACCAAGGGGAGGGGACGTGGAATGTGCCAGAAAACACACCGGCCTCTCCCGGGAGCACGCCAGGGACGACGGCTGTTCCCACACCCGGGAGAGGGGGCGGCCTCCAAAATGCCGCTGCCCGCGCAGGTGAACACGGCAAGAGCGTGTCGCGGCCTCGGGTCGCGGTTTCGACATTGGGAAACCGCCGTGGGCAAATCGTTGGGAGTTCGGAGGCGGGTCTGGCTGCTAGGACGTCGCCTCGGCTTTGCGTGTGCGGTGAGGACCGACGGCAGCCTCGGGGACGGCCGCGCAGCAACACAGGCTGTGCTCGCAGACACCACGCGTGTGCTGCTGCGTGGAGGGCCCGGGTGCGCAGTCGCCCAAGTGGCGTCGTCCCCACCAACACACGGACGCCCGTCCACAAGCCGGAGCCGGCAGCGCCGGCCTCGCTCCTCCCAGGTCCAGACCCGCCCCAGAGCTGCTCCTGGGGTTGCGCCACCCACCCACCCACAACACACACACGCATGCACGCATACACACATACACGCACACATGCTGTGTGCACCTGCTCCCACATACACACGTGCACACAGAACACCCTCTCTACGCCTCCAGAACAGGAGCTCTGAGTGACAGATGCTTCCAGAAAGGTGTGTGCGTGCATGTGTGTGCGTTTGTGCCTGTGTTCACGTGTATATGTGCGTGTATGTGTGCGTGTGTCTGTATGTGTGCACACGTGTATGTGTGTGCCTATGCATGTGTGTGCACACACCTGGGCATGTGCAGTCATGTGTGTAGGTGTGTATGCATGTGTGTACGTGTGTGTGCCTATGTCTGTGTGCACGTCTGTGTGCATATGTGTGCCTATGCATGTGTGCGCGCACACCTGAGCATGTGCAGTCATGTGTGCAGGTGTGTATCCATGTGTGTACGTGTGCATGTGTGTGCCTGTCTGTGCGCATGTGTGCACATGCATGCATGTCTGTGTGGATGTCTGCATGTGTGTGCACATGCATGTGTGTATGCGCACACATGTGCATACACGTGTGTGCAGGTGTGCCTGCATGTGTGCACGTGTGTACGTGTGCATGTACGCACGTGTGCATGCGTGTGGCTGAGGTGAGGCGGGCCGTCAGAGCAGGAAGGGAACAGGGCTCCTCCCTCGTCTGTCCGACCCTCGTGCTCCCGCCCCACGCGTGGACGGTCCCCCGGCCCTCCACGCCCACTTCCCGGGCTCCGGGGCCCTGGCGAGCCGGCGCCACTCACTCGTAGGGGATCCTCCTGAAGACCAGGTGGTCCAGCAGGGTCAGCTGCTCCGCGATCTCCAGGGCCGAGTGGCTCTCGAAGGGCTCGGGCCTGACGCCGTCCGCCTGGGGGGAGGTGGCACGGTCGGCACACGGCGTGGCCTCCGCTCTCCGGCCTCTCGCCGGGCCTCCGCAGGGAGTCTGGGGTGGGGGCGGCTGGGGCGTGACGAGGGCGGTGGGGATGGGGTGGGGGGGGAGCTGGGCCCCCGTTGCTTCCCACACGTGTGTGTGCACTCAGGAGGGCGGCTGGACACCGTCACTACACGGGAGCCACCACCGCCATGCACGGCGGGGAGGGGACAGTGGAGGTCCAGAGGTCCGTGACGGGCCCGAGTGCTGAGCGGCCACAGCTGGCAGGGCTGGAGCCCCGGCGGCTGACCCTGGCCGGCCCCGGTCACTCCCGGCAGGCCCTGCGGCCACAGCGGGCTCGGCACAGCTTCCGTGTAGCACTTGTGGGCAGGTGCCTCCCGGGCGTGGCTGGCTCCTGGGCCGCCGCTCCTGTCCTGTGTCCGGGGACAGCTGTGGGGCCTCAGTCCCGTCGCCACGCCCCCCGCAGCCCCGGGGTATGCCGTGGGCACCGCCTTAGCGGGCGTCCACCACCGCGCCCTGTGGCCAGAGGGAACCCTCAGGGAGACGGCAGCCAGGCACGGCCATGCCCACGCGGGGACACGGCAGGCTGGCGTGCTGGGTGCCAAGGCCTCCCTGGGGGTCTGCGTGTCCAGGGAGGGGACAGGTGGGCGGGGACAGCCTTGCCGGCCTGGGAGGAGCCTGTGTCCACCAACAGGACGAGAATCCTGCCGCACCCCCGACTCGATGCCATTGGCCACGTGGCAGGGGCGTGGCCGGCCCATCACTCGTGGCAGCGTGGGCTCCGGAAGCCACCGCCCCTCGCCCCTGTGACTTCTGCTTCTGTCACGTCCACGCCGGCCTGCCCAGGAGCCACCGTCCGCACGGGTCACAGGGAAGCGGGCCACGCTCGGCCAGGCGTCCCCTCCCGCCCGTGCAGACAGGCCCCGAGGCCGCGTGGCCAGGCCCTGGCCAGACACAAAGACCAGAAAGCACAGGTCCTGCCCACGGGAGCTGAGGACACAGGGTTCCGGGTCACGTGCGTGGGGCAGGGCGTGCGTGGGGCGGGGGGGGGGAAGGAGCCTGTGTGTGCCGGGGCTGCCTCGGTTTCCTGGCAGAGCCGCCCGGGCAGCAGAGAGCGAGCACAGGCGCCAGGGGCAGGTGCAGGGGCATGGGGACGGGGACGCAGGGTGTTCGGGGACATGGGGGGTGAGAGGCCGGGCAAGGACCCTGCGTGGGGTTTCCTGTGTGCGCAGGAGGGGCTGCGTGAATAAACGTGGGCGGCGGCCTTCCCTCCCTCGAGGCCCCGCTGTGCCGGCTGCCGGCATAGTGACTGCCAGGGGCGAGCCAGGGCGGGTGTGGCCGACCCCTGCTCCTCCCGCCCCTCTGGGTGTGACCTGGGGGGAGGGGACCCTGGGGCCGGTGGGGACCCACTTCCCTGGGCTTTGAAAACCCCACAGCAGGCCAGGCGCGGTGGCTCACGCCTGTAAAATCCTAGCACTCTGGGAGGCCAAGGCGGGAGGATCGCTCAAGGTCAGGAGTTTGAGACCAGCCTGAGCAAGAGCGAGACCCCGTCTCTACCAAAAAATAGAAAGAAATTAATCGGCCAACTAAAAATATATAGAAAAAGTTAGCCGGGCGTGGTGGTGCATGCCTGTAGTCCCAGCTACTCAGGAGGCTGAAGCAGGAGGATCGCTTGAGCCCAGGAGTTTGAGGTTGCTGTGAGCTAGGCTGATGCCACGGCACTCTAGCCCGGGCAACAGAGTGAGACTCTGTCTCAAAAAAAAAAAAAAAAGAAATAAAAGAAAAAAATAGAAAACCGGTGCCCTGAGGCCCCACAAGGGCTCTGGGGGCAGAAGGGGGCAGCTCAGCGGCTCTTTGTTCTAGAAGAGCCTCCGGCCGCTCAGGAAGGGACAAGGGCCCTCAAGCCGCCAAGGGGCAAACATTCCCGGAGGGACCCTCGTCTGGAGGAAGTGGGGCCGCTGCCCGGGCAGTGAGGTGCCCCGGGGCTGCCCCGGGTCGGGGTGGCTGGGGCTGCTGCCCCCGGTGCCTCGCTGGGAAGGGGTCCTGGCGGGGAGGACAGGGAGGGGGCCAAGAATGCGGAGTCCTAAGTCCTCCCGGCTGAGCCCCGGGCCACAGTCCCCAGGTCTGGGGAGGTCAGAGCCGGTCTGGCCGCGGTGCAGGGCGGCTGGCAGTGGCGTTCTGGGGGGGAGCGTATCCCCACCCCGGGAAAGAGCGCCCAAGCCAGGCAACACGAAGAGTACGGAGGCTGTCGTCCCTGTGCCCTGTGGGGAGTGACGTCCCCAGCTCATGCCCCCCACCTGCCGCCACTCCTGGGCAGGTGGGGCCGGAAGGTGCCGCGAGCTCTTGCTTTGGCGGGCAGACCCCAGGGTGAGTGCGGCTCTCCACCGCCACTCTCCGGCACCTCACGTGGGCTGCTTGAGCCCCATCCCTGGCCTTGGGGCCCTCTGCGCTGGGACGGTGGCAGTCCCTGCGGCTGCGCTTGGTACCAGCGCACGGGCCCCGAGCAGCCTGGCCGCTTCCTTCCGCCCGCCCCGAGGGACAGCAAGAGAGAGCATGGGGGACAAGGGCAGTGACGGGGACAGAGACGGGGACAGACAGGTGGAGTCCTCGCCCCAGCACCCGGCCGTGTGGCCTCAGCGGCCCCGTGCACAGGCTCAACCGATTGGAGATCAAAGATATTCCGGGGGGAAAAAAATCCACAAAGTTCCAAAAAGCAAAACTCGAATTTGCCACGCACGGCCTCGAACCCGAGCAGGTGGGGGCCGCGTGGGGGTCACTGGTAATCCAGAGGTGATGAGTACACGGGAGGGTGCGAGCAGGTCACGTGCAAATACCGTGCACTTGTGCACCTGCCGGTTTTGGCACCTGAAGGAAGAGGGAGCCTCCCTGGACATGGAGACCACGGGGCTTGGGGACGAGCTTTTGTTTATTTTTTTTGAGACAGATCGCACCTGTTCCAGCCAGAGGATGCCGTGCATCAGCCTAGCATAGCACCACACTCCTGCTCAGCGATCCTCCTGCTCAGCCTTCGCGAGAGCGGAACACAGGCATGGCCACCATGCCGCTAATTTTTCTAATATTTTAGTGGCCATTAATTCTTCTATTATATAAGACGTGCCGCTCTTGCTCAGGCTGTTTCAAACTCCGACCTCAACAATCCACTCCGCCTCAGCCCCCATGGACGAGCTTTGTGGACAAGATATGAGTAGGCCACGGGGTTGGCCTTGGCCCAACAGGACGGGGGTCTAGAAAAAGGGGCATGGGCCGACACAGCCGGGTGCGTGGCCACGCCTGTCATCCCAGCACTCTGGAGCGAGGCAGGAGGATCGCTCATGCAGGAGTTTGCGAGACCAGCCTGAGCAAGACTGACCTGTCTCTGCTAAAAATAAAGAGAAATTAATGGCCATAAAAAATATAATAGAAAAATAGCCAGGCATGTGCGCATGCTGTATCCAGCACATGGAGGCTAGCAGGAGGATCGCTGAGCCCAGGAGTTGAGGTTGCTGGACTAGGCGGACGCCACGCACCACTCTACCGGGCAACAGAGGAGCACCTGTCCAAAAAAAAAAGGAAGGGGGACATTGACGCAGACAGACAGCGCACGGAGGAAATGTGCAGACAGAGGGCGGGCACTGCCACATTGTCGGCACGGGCCGGCACCTGCCCGGGCAACGGCGGCGGAGCAGGCCAGCAGGGACCTCCCCAGGGCCGCCAGGACGGGGTGCACAAGCAACCCTTATTCACGCTCTGCCCGCTGGCGGGAGAGTACAAATTCCGTCACTGGCAGCCGCCCTGTTGGTGCACTTGTCACGCAGCCACGGGAAGGGGCACAGGGGGCAGTGCCGGGCGGGCCGTGTGTGTGTGGGGGAGGGGCAAGCCCGCTCACCATCTGCACAATCTCCTCCAGCGTGATCTGGCTGTCACCGGGGTCCTCCTGGGTCAGGGTCCTGGGGAGGAGGGGGAAGGTGAGCCCCCCGCTCCTCCCGAGAAGACCCCTGCACCCCGCCGGCCCCACACGCTTGGGCTCTCAGGCCTCTCTGTGCTGGCTGGCCCCTTCTTCCTGCCGTGCTGGCCCTCTTGGCCGGACGTCCCTGCCTGTCTGGCTGCAGGCACGGGCAGCCTCACCCCTGGCACTGCTGGCTGGGGCTCCTCCTGCAGCCCCGGGACCCGCACGGGCAGCCTCACCCCCTGGCACTGCTGGCTGGGGTTCCTCCTGCAGCCCCGGGACTGGCACAGGCAGCCTGACCCCCTGGCACTGCTGGCTGGGGTTCCTCCTGCAGCCCCGGGACTGGCACGGGCAGCCTGACCCCCTGGCACTGCTGGCTGGGGTTCCTCCTGCAGCCCCGGGACTGGCATGGGCAGCCTCACTCCCGGCACTGCTGGCTGGGGTTCCTCCTGCAGCCCCGGGACCGGCATGGGCAGCCTCACCACCTGGCACTGCTGGCTGGGGCTCCTCCTGCAGCCCCGGGACCGGCATGGGCAGCCTCACCCCCGGCACTGCTGGCTGGGGCTCCTCCTGCAGCCCCGGGACCCGCACGGGCAGACACGCCGCCCGGCTCCTGCGTGTATGTGGAGGGAGAGGACGCAGGGGTGCTGCCCCGCAGGCCTGTCCTTGGCCAGACGGGAGGATAGCTCCATGGCTGCAGGACCCGAGGCTGCGTTGAGTGAGGGCAGAGGAGAGGGTGCCGGCCCATGCCGGGAAATGAGGGTGGACCCTCAACATAAGGCCAAAGTGCTTCCACCCACTGGGATGCCAGAGAGCCGAGCCTGGGCACTGCTCCACCCTGGCACACCCTGCCTGGTGTCCCCTGCCTTAGAGGGGCCCTGTCACCTCCATCCTGGCACACCCTGCCCGGTGTCCCCTGCCTCAGAGGGACCCTGTCACCTCCACCCTGGCACACCTGCCCGGTGTCCCCTGCCCCAGAGGGGCCCTGTCACCTCCACCTTGGCACACCCTGCCCACTGTCCCCTGCCCGAGAGGGACCCTGTCACCTCCACCCTGGCACACCCTGCCCACTGTCCCCTGCCCCAGAGGGGCCCTGTCACCTCCACCTTGGCACACCCTGCCCGGTGTCCCCTGCCCCAGAGGGGCCCTGTCACCTCCACCCTGGCACACCCTGCCCGGTGTCCCCTGCCCGAGAGGGGCCCTGTCACCTCCACCCTGGCACACCCTGCCTGGTGTCCCCTGCCCGAGAGGGGCCCTGTCACCTCCCGGCTCACCTGATGATGTTGGCGGCCGCCTTGCGCTCCTGGGTCAGGAGCTCGGGGTCATGCATCACCTCCTCCAGGAAGCTGATGACCTTGCACTTGAGCTCATCATTGGTCTCAAAGTCCTGCCGGAAGATGTCCCGGGTGATGCCGGTCCCTGTTCTCCAACTGCCGGGCAGTGGCCGGGGCCAGGCCAGAGGAGGGAGCTGCAGTCTCTGTTTCTGGCTTCCCTGCCTCAGTTTCCCTCCGCTGGCTGCGTGGCAGGAACAGCCGACTCCCAGGGCCCAGAGGATCTTAGGCGAAGGCGCCGGGCAAGGCCAGGGCTGGCACTCAGCCCCCGCACCCTGGCTGGGGCTGCACGAGCCCACCTGTGCCTGCCGCAGACAGGTGGGCAGACAGCGGCCCCGGAACGACCCTATTCCCTCTGGGGCACCCGGGCAGGTCCTTCCGGAAATGCCGTATTTTCCCGAAAATAAGACCTACCCATAAAATAAGCCCTAGCGGGATTTCTAAGCATGTGCCCCATAGAAGCCCCACCCCGAAAATCAGCCCTAGTGACGGGCGTGGCTACACAGCATCTGCACAACCCGTGCGTGTCGTCGGAGCGGGAAAGAAGACGAGCAGCCCTTCCCATCCGCCCCGTCGTGACAGCTGCTGTCCCAGAGGTGACCGGAAAGGTGCGGGCAGCCCCACCAACAAGGTCGGCTCCACCTGTCAGGTCCTAGCCATCCTGTGCGTGCTGCAAGCTGAGGCTTTGAGGGGAAAATGACACATCCCCTGAAAATAAGCCCCGGGGTGTCTTCTTGAGGGACAATAAATAGAAGGCCCCGTCTTATTTTCGAGGAGACATGGTATGGGGCGGCACAGGTGGGCTCTTTCCTCCGGCCACCCCCCTGTCGGCCCTGGCTCCCTCTGCCCAGGAGGACCCACCCACCTGCGAGTGCTTGGAGACCCAGTGGCGCAGCACGTTCAGGACGCGGTTGGTGGCCGCCCTGCGGATCACAAACTCCTTGTCTCCGTTCCTAGTGGATCAGCTTCTGGAGGAGGTGTATGCACGACCCCCGAGCTCCCTGACCCAGGAGCCCTGCAAGGCCGGGTCGCGGTGAGGGTGACAGGGCCCTCTGGCGGGGACAGTGGGATGCTGTTCTGGGGGCACCGGTAGGTGGTGGCCAGGTGGAGGGTGGAACCAGGGCCCTCTCGGTGCAGGGACACAAGGCAGGGTGGTGCCAGGGTGGGGAGGTGAACAGGGCCCCTCTGGGGCCAGGGGACACCCGGGCCAGGTGTGCCAGGGGGTGGGAGGTTGACCAGGGCCCCTCTGGCAGGCGAACCAACCGGGCAGGGGTGCCCAGGGGAGGGTGACAGGGGCCCTCTTGGGGCAGGGAACACCGGGCAGGGTGCCAGGGTGGAGGTGACAGGCCCCTCCGGGCAGGGGACACCAGCAGGGGGTGCCAGGGGGGAGGTGACCAGGTACCCCCTCTGGGCAGGGATCACTGGGCCAGGGTGTTGGGCCAGGGTGGGGTGATGGGCCCTCTCGGCCAGGGACACGGGCAGGGTGTTGGCCAGGTGGGAGGTGACCCAGGGCCCCTCCTGGGGCAGGGACACCGGGCAGGTGGCCCAGGGTGGAGGTGACAGGGCCCCCCTCTCGGGCAGGGGACACCGGCGCAGGGGTCCAGGGGTGAGTGGGACAGGCCCCCTCTGCGGGGCAGGGACACCGGGGCCAGGGTGTGGCCAGGGTGGGAGGTGACAGGGCCCCGTCTGGGGCAGGGACACCGGGCAGGTGTGGCCAGGGGTGAGGAAGTGACAGGGCCCCTCTCGGGCAGGGGACATGGGGCAGGGTGGTGCCTAGGTGGAGGACAGGGCTTCCTTGGGCCAGGGAACAGTGGGCAGGTGTGCCCCCAGGGGGAAGTGACAGGGCCCCCTTCTCGGGCCAGGGGACTCCGGGCAGGCCTGTGCCAGGGTGGAGCAAGTGCCCAGCTGGCTCCTGGCACCCCAGTGGGGCGTAACACTTTGGACCTTATGTTGAGAAGTTCCCCGCCCCCATTTCGGCGTGGCTGGCAAACCTCTCCTCCCTCTGCCCTCACTCAACACAGCCTCGGGTCCTGCAGCCACGGAGCTATCCTCTCCGTCTGGCAAGCCAGCTGCGGGGCAAAGCACTGCGTCCGTCTCCACAATACACGGCCAGGAGCCGGGCGCGTGTCTGCCCCGTGGCCCCGTCCGGGGCTGCAAGGAGGGCCCAGCCCAGCAGTGCCGGGCAGGCTGCCTGCCGTCGGGGGCTCGCAGGAGGAACCCCAGGGCAGCATGCCGGGGTCAGGCTGCCCCGGCGCCTGTCCGGCCTGCAGGTAGGAGCCCCGCCAGCCACAGTTCGCCGGGGGTCCAGGCTGCCCGTGCATGTTGGCGCGGGCTGCAGGAGACAGCCAGCAGCGGGCGTAGGGTGCCGGCGGTTTCCGGGGCTGCAGGGAGGAGCCCAGCCGCCCAGTGGCCCGGGTGAGCGCCCGTGGCCGGTCCGGGCGCAGCGGGCACCCCAGCCAGCAGTCTGCCTAGGGGGTCCAGACTGCCCGTGCCCGGCCCAGCCAAAACAGACAGGAGTCGGCCCAAGAGGGCAGCCACGCAAGGAGAAGGGCCAGCCAGCCACAGAGAGCCTGAGAGCCCAGCGGTGGGGCGGGGTGTCTTGGGGGGGGGGTTTTCTCCCCGGACTGACCCAGGGAGGACCCGGGTGGAAAGCCCAGAAAATCACGGCCTGGAGGAGAATGTGCCGATGGTGAGCGGGGCTGCCCCCTCCCCCACCACACACACCTCGGAGACCGCCCGCAACGGCCCACTCACCTGTGCCCCCACTTCCCCGTGGCTGCCCGTGACAAAGGCCACAACGGCGGGCTCCAGTGAACGGAAATTTTCCTCTCCAGCCCAGCCGGCCAGAGCGGGAATACGG